GCACATAGTTGTCATCGTACTACTCTTCTTCGTTGTCTTCCATCATAACCCCTATTTCTCCGTGCCTCGTCCAAACATTATAGTGTGGCATGAAACCCTTGTAAAGCAGGTGGGTGTGGAGGATTTTCCGGTCAGAGTAAGACTTCGTATTCCCACATATAGGGCATGGACAACACATAAAACCATTATGCTTGTTTTCCTCAGCCACTTCGAGAAAACCATGCACGCCCTTAATGTACTCGGAGGTGTGTCTTGAACCGTACATCCATTGCCGGTTCATCTGCGTGCATTATATATAATTAAGTGTGTCAAAAATCATTACAGAACATCATGAATAGATAATTAAGTGACCAAATTAATAGAAGTTCATCATCACATTAAAACCAAAGTACATACATAGTTCTCATCTAACAACATAAATCTCTGCAGAGCATCTAAATTAATTAAACCATACACTGAAACTATGTAAAACATTTCAATGCGAAAACAAATGCGATCATAATCGCAACCAATGTAACAACTGATCCAACGGCATAATGATACCAAGCCTCGGTATGAATGGCATATTTTCTAATCTTTCTAATCTTCAAGCGCATTGCATCCATCTTGATCTTGTGATCATCCACGACGGTGGCGGATACCAAAACCATCGCACTATATAAGATGCAATAATAAAAGTAAGAAAATTATACAAGTATCTATATAAATATACAAGTAAGAATTTTTTTCCTTTCAGAAAGAAGATAAGAACGAGAGGCTCACCACGGTGGTGCCGGAGACGAGATCGGCGTGGGCGATCGACGGCGGTGAAGACGGGGACGGGACGTGACGGACCGCTAAACCTAGACAAATATTAAGGAAAATGGAGCTTGGAGGTCAAGCTTGAAGAGGAGAAAGCTTAAGTAGTGTGGCTCGGGCATTCCATCGAACACCTCGTGTGCATAGGAGGTGAGCTAGAGCACCACAAAGCTCTCCCCTCGTCGGCCACGAAAAACAGAGCACTGGGAGTGCTTTGCTCGCGGACGAGGGATAGATATAGGCAACTAATTGGTCCCGGTTCGTGCCACGAACCGGGACTAAAGGGCAGCCTTTGGTCCCGGTTCATTCCACCAACCGAGACCAATGGTGGTGGGCCAGGAGCGAGGCGCATTGGCCCCGGTTCGTCCCACCAATTGGAACCAATAGGTCCAGCCGAACCGGGACCAATGGCCCACGTGGCCCGGCCGGCCCCGGGGGCTCACGAACCGGGTCCATTGCCCCCATTGGTCCCGGTTCTGGATTGAATCGGGACTAATGGGCTGACCCAGCCTGGACCATTTCCCCCTTTTCTACTAGTGACTCTGCCTCTATTCGGTCGGGCGGCGGCGTGCACCTCGGCCTCGGAACCTTTGACACTGCCCAGGATGGCGCCCGCGCGTACGACGCTGCGGCGTGGCGCCTCCGGCGGTCCCGTTGGGACATGAGCTTCACCGACGTGGTGACACGGGAGCGGGCATAGGAGTTGGCGCCTTTCCCGCGGCTTATCACCGACGAGGATCGTCGCAAAAACCGGAGGCGGGAGCACCGTCTCAGCCTGGCCGAGATGGACGAGGAAGCCATGGCGCTGTGGAGGGAACACTTCCCTCAAGACATCATCAACGAGGAACGGTTTTTCGCTGAGAGGAGGGCGGAGAAGGAGGAGAGGAGGAAGGAGCGAGCCACCTATTGCGAGGACAAGCGAACGCGGAAGGTGGTCGCTAAATACAACATCGCACTAGGAGATGTGTTGTCCTTGGACTCCCGCGACGAGCGGTTCCTTGACGCCTATGCTCAGACGTCGGAGGAGGACATCACCGAGGCAGAGTCCAAGTCGGAAAATGACGAGTAGTAGTAGTTTTTCGTTTTATTTTGTATCGTAGAAGCAGACTATGTGACGAATTATGAACTATGTATCGTTGGAGAAGTCTAGATGTACGCATTTTGTATCGTAGAAGTAGGCTATGTGCCGAACTATCTTCATATTTGTATGCTCGGAACCAAATATGTATCGAATCGCAGTTCACAAAAGGAAAAAAAATGAAATATAGCACCCCTGCTGGAGCGGCTCGGGCGTGCTTTATTTTACGGCGGCCGCTGGAGTCAGCGCAACGCCGCGCGCAAAACCTAGCTCACCCGACGCTGTATTCTGATTTTTAGTGCGCCGCGTGTTGCGCGGCTGTTGGAGATGCTCTAACGCGGCATCATGACACATGCCACTGCTTGATGCGAATATACACACTATGCAAAAGAGTATTTTATTGGGGACCAATATGTGATTGGATAGGTAGAAGGAAAGTGGTATCTTTAGCCCATCATGATTTAAATTATGATGCTCGTATTTTTCAGTAATTTCGATGATGCACATTCAGTTATATATGAGTGCATGTGCCTGTACTTAAAAAAGTATTTAATTTATATCTAAGAGCGTCAAATACACACCCAAAATATCCACGGACGGCCCTCAAATGTCCTGCCGAACAATGACACTCCTTATATGTTATATTTAAACTCTCAAATCCATGCATATCAATTGTACACTTGAATATCACACTTAATAACATTTGGTCATAGTGAAAATATATAGTTCAAACACAAAATTTATTTGAAGTGCACAATTCAAACATTAGACTCACTGATTTTGTTGTGTATCCACATATGCTCCAAAAGATCATTGAGTAGTTGAAAGTGCACCAATTGACCTCAAAGATTTCGATGGATTTAAAAAATCCGGAATATGATTTGCACTTGTTTCGGGATGTGGACTTGTTCTCTAAAATTCTCAAAATTATGGGTTCAGGCTGCCCCTACAACGTTGTCCCGACAATCATATTATGCAAAATGACACCACATGTCATCAGTTGTCACAATGTCTCTGATTATCACATTATTTTAGCTCCGTGAACAACACCCAAACGAGCTTACAACACTTTGTAACCCCTCTCTACATCCTTCATAGCTGCTTCTTGCATTGTTGCAAAAGTCAATTACATCACCGGTGCTAAAACTTGGCTAGAAAAGTCAATTTAGTGATAAAATTTATGGTATACAATGAACGGATGTCAGAACATGGCTCTGATATGCATATATGATGCAAATTGCGTCAAACAATGCCGACGAGGCAGGCTATCGTGGCGCGGGACCCACTGTCAATGGCCCGGCCGGTTATTTTGCAATAAAAAATCTGGAGTTATTATTTTTCATCGAAAAGCCCCCAGCACAAGAGGGTCCTGTCTGTCAGTACAAAGTGGAAATGGAAGACCGAAAATGTGGCGCAGGGATCCGAACTCAAGACCTATGGGTCGCATGCACAACGTGCAAAGAGCTACTCTCTGATGTGCTATAGGGATAATGCAACCTAATGTATTACTAGTACAATGCCCATGCGTTGCCACGGGCCTATTAATTTTTTTTCTGATTGCATACATAAGCATAATGCACTTCCAATTTCACATGTATAGAATTTTTTTACAGTAACAATCGAAAAATGTACTTGATGCAATGTATTTTCATTATTCCACATCACTTGCATCTCCTAAAATATCAGGAATATTATCTTCAGCTTCCTTCGCACAGTACTTGAGCAATTATAGTAAAAAAATCTTCCTTGACTTGTAACCATCCTGCATGAGTACTTCATACAGTTAGCATGAAGATTTCACATGAAAATGTAAGAACGTGCAAACATGGAGTACTCAACTTGTAAATTGGATGAACCAATTTTTTACCATTCCATGAGAGCATATTAAAATCAAAAACAAAATAACTCAACACATTAATGGAATAAATAAATATTTATTATCTCAATTATAATGATGATAAATAATTGTATGTATCTTGAATATAAAAATAGAATAGACAAATATGAACAGCCTCCCACAAAAAGGAAAAGCCACTCCTCGCCTCTCACCACACAAGCACATCACACATCCCTTATCCCCACCGCATAAGGCACAACTTCAGCAACTCACATGGCGTAGTCTTTAGCTTTTCTCCCTGCCATTGCGCGCCCTACCGAGGAAAGCAGCAACGGGGCCATAGGTAACATGCATCGACAACGTAGTGGAACCGGAAACAATGCCATCAAACATGAGCGGCGACCTTGACCAAGCTCCATGTAGGTTAGTTCTACCCCTTTCTTGTCATGTTTTGTCTGTTCTCAAATGAATTATTCATATATTCAACAAACGTAAAGAAAAATAATAATCTCACGTGTATCTATCAAATAAAAATTGTGCAGCAAACTTGTAGTGAACTCCGCTGATAGTGAATTTAATTGCTTATATGATGAATGCAGAAAGAATTTGCAAGAGATAGTAACAACTGACATGAAGTAAATCTGGTAGTCCATTGTTGATTAGAAATGTATGCTAATATGGCTCAGAGATGCAATAGAACAATGGAAGGGTTGCACTTGAAGATCAAATAGGACATCTCTGAGCAGTCTATGGTCACAAATTGTTTAGGCCCTAGATCTCAAGCATCAACTCTAACAGGAAGGGAATAAAGTGAACCAACTTCACAAGAAACAAAAATATTGGATTTCTATTTATATGATATGGGAGTCATAGACAATTGACATGTGATGATATTTCATGCTTGTGATGTGATAGATAAATGCATCTCCTCGTCATCTTTCTATTCCCTCCCTATCTCACAATCATTTCTTCTTCATGTGTTTCTCATGGGGCCAAGCATAATCATTGATATGAATAGTCATTAAAATATCAAATCACTACAACCAACAATCCATCATTTGCTCCAAAATTGACCACAAGAAATAAACCAATTGCCAGAGACTGAAGTACAACCAATGCTTCAGATTGCAAATAAAATAAAATAAAATGTGCTCCATTATTTTAGCTAAAATAACAGGAAAAGGTATTATTAGTTTTTTTTCGCATTGCCAGTGATGTATATGCTTGTAATAATCACAGTCTCTTCAAAAATTAACACATCACTTCTCATTTAGAAAGTTTTGAGTGTTACAGGCATATAAATATAAGACTTAACTCAACTGCCAATAATGTGAGCTTGACTGAACTAATGGATAGTGTGATGCATTCCCCAATCATTTGACTTTGAAATTTCAGAAATGGGAAGATTATAACTAACCAGTTGAAAGAAACTTCAGTCAAAGATGCCAATACAACTCCACCGAAAAATGGTACGAGAGAACCTGCTACCAGTAAATAAGGTGTCTGCAAGAACTAAAGAACATAAGTATCTTTTTCTGCGTATTTCATTTGTCAGTACGGACCACTTACCAAAGCTTGAAATAAAATACCTGTCCAAGGAAGAAGAGAGAGAGTAGACAAGGGCACCATGGTGTGCGTCAAGGAGACAACCACCTTTCCCAAACTCAGTTGCCTGTTTGTGTATCTCAAGCCTTCAGGGACAATGTTCTTTTTCCTTCCTCATTTAGTGCCAATAGCAGGTGGGTTGGCGTTTGATTGATGTGCCTCAGCTTTCTTCTGGAAAAGCACATTGGCTCAGCTTCAGCTTCACATGTAGTTAAGTGAAGAAGAAGAAGAAACGATAACACGCGGTATATATGTCCATACTTTAGTCAGTCAAAGTAATCTTTTTGAAAGTTATGTTCAGCTATTGAATTTATTAGTCGAACATATATTATAACACTAAAAGCCTCTTCTGCTGCTCCATCAATAATAATCCAGAAATAGCAAGCAAGTGAACAAAATATAGTGATGTGTGTGTAGATTGTCAGGATTCATCATTGCATATCATTTTTCTCTGGATACTACATATGCAAGCACATGATATTGATATGCCAACATTTATGAATAAGCGCCATATTTTCAGCTTGCTAAAACTCAAAAAATACATAAGCTCGGAAAATCCATGAAGGGAAGAAAACTCAGAAAATACAGAAGTTCTAAAACATGCAGACTTGTTCATACTAAATCAGTACCCACCTTTACCCATCAATACTACTTGTTTATTTTGACGAACTGTCAAACCTGTAAGGAATTTGTTTACTTCTATAAATTACAGAAATAACATTATGAAAGATGCATTTTGGTACAGAGTTATAGGTAACTAACATGAATTGGATCTTGTAGGCCCCTGTGGCCCTGCATATATCTGTCTCAAGTCTTAACAGCTCCAGCTCTTAGACAAACATAAAAACAATGTTAAATTCAAATGCCTTAAAAAACCACATGAATGAAATTTTGTATCGACCTGAACAACTATCAAGTCACACACCAAAAACGTCTATTACAGGATAGGAATTTTGTTGCTTCCCTCCAACCCCAATTGTAATCAAATTTTGACAAAGAATGAATTACCACAGTGATCAATCACCTGAAGGACTTGAAATCACAGTGATCAATCTACATTCTTCCTCAGGTCTTTACTTTGAAACCGGGTTTGCCATGTTGCTTACAGAAGAGAAATGCTAGAAGCAGAAACTTCAGGTCTCTAGCAAGTCCAAAGTCAAACAAATTCAGAAGTTACTTCTAGTTCATTTCACTAACTAAGCCAAAACTAATCAAGGCAACTCACATGTGGGGAAATTCTCAAATTTTTGCAGTCCCAACTTAGAACTAAGAGAACTAAGTGAAAGTGGCACCTTTCTTCTACGCACCGCAACGGTCCTGTATGAAAGAAAAATAAGAGTGTCACTTGGCTGCACCATGTACCTATATTTTGTCCCCGCGACGCAAGTTGAGAGGTGAGAGGTGATTCATTTTTCAAGAGAATTAGTCAAACTCTAATATCTTCACCATGTACTGAACTTTGTCGAGATGAGATGATTCAGTTGCCTAGTTTACAAAAGTTAGATGATCTGATTTGATCAATTTTCCACTTAAACTAAATATCATTAAACTTCCGTTCAACTAAGCAGGGAGACATTCTGGCAGGCATGGTGAACTTTTCTTCGGAGGTAGTTTTATGTTTCTTGCTTTTCACCTCTGCATTTTGGGCACCACCCAAATATATTTAACAAGAAAATACTTACAGTATTTAACCTGACCATTCCTTGAGAATACACAACAGGAATCATCAATATTTTCAACAACGGTCTGGTTGCCTCTAATGAGAACCACGCATGTTGAGTTTCCTTCTTCTAGGAGCCCAAGATAAGGTGCCTGCAAAATAAGTCCCAAACTAAGGTACAGTACGGAAACAAAATATCCAAAATCGTATTAAAAAATATGCTATAAAGCAGCGAATGCCAACACTCTGTTCTACCCTTTTCGTAATCAAGAAAAGCACCAAGAGAGCACGAAGCCAAGTAATGCATAGCAGATGAGTAAGTGGTCCTAGAAATGACAATACCTTTAAATTTAAAATCAAAGATATCAAGAATGTGTTCTGTCTACAAGTACATATGCACTTTAATTGCTTACTTCTAGGCTTCAGCATGTAATCTATTTCCAGGAACCTCGTTCAGCTAGCAAGATTTCTCACACGATATTATTTTTTAGAACCATATAGACTTAGTAACAATCAAAGTCAAAGAATGGTTGCCTGTGGTGGACAATCACAGTAACAAGATTTCTAGACTCGGTAACAATATTGTCAAGCATCCGAGCATCTTTGTTTTGATAATCAGGATACATGTGGTGGATAAACAGGTGCAGGAGCTCATTATTTAGGTGAGTGCAGATTTCCAAGTATCAGCACAAGAAACTCTTCTGTTGTAATACACTCTAGCTATGCCTGAAACAAATAGGATTATTGGAATGGTTTGCTCAACAAATTGTTACCCGAGTATTCACCTTCGTCTATTTTGAACAAATGGGCCGGATAGATTAGTTAGTATTTCGTCAATGAAAATAAGATCACATGTGAAGAAAATCATGTTCAAACCTTCTTTCTCCGACACTGAGAAATTTGCTCTCTCACATATATAGATGAATGCATTATGAGAAAGTTTATCCCAACCACGAGAGATTGAGATTTACTCAATAGGATAGCTAAAACTTATAAGCAACCATTTTAGAAATGTAATAAAGACCTAAAGTGCAGTCTTAAGTTACCTTTACCATAGTTTCTACAGAGGTCAATCCAATACCTCCCTAAATTGTTTAGCTCAGCACTGCTGGCCTCTTCTCCTTCATCCATATCACCCTGCAATGTAGGAAACTCCACTGAAATATTAAGATGTATATGAAAATCAGAATTCAAGCAGTTAGAATTTAGTAATGAACAATTAGGGTACTGCATAATATATTGCAATAGCTCATTAATTAGGGTTAGGCCTCCGCAGTGAAGATGTCTCAGACAGTTACTGAAAGTGGCTATCAACCATGAATAAAATCGTTTCTCGCTTCATGGGCCAACTCTTACCAGAAACAGTGTGTGCTTCTGATTTCGGCGTGCAGAACACTACAGGCCGCATGTCAGTTTATTGCTTGCTGAACATACCACCCAAAAATGACTCCACTACAAAAACGACTTCACCGGTGCTACCACCCATCTCTCTCACCATCATATCAGGCAGGCAGGCTACAGACTCATCTCTTTCCACTACTGTTCTAGCCGGCATGCAGCAAACATTTCATTTCCCTGTCTAATTTTGGGAATTTAGGCCTACCACTCTTGTGCACCATACTGACAAAATAGAAAAAAACTTCCTCGCAATTTTTCACCTTGAATGCTAATCATGTTTTACAAATGCAATTATGTTTTGGAGCAAAAATTATGCATGTTTGGGAATTGATTAGTGGTAAGTAAGAGAAGAGGTTAATTATTATTACCGCGAGGACTTTCTTGTACTCGGAGATATTGAAGGAGATGTAGCCGTGGATCTCGAACTGCTGGGACCTAGCGGAGAAGGGAACCAGGCAGTAGTTGTTGAAGAAGTCGTTGCCACCAAGTGTGATGAGCACCAGCGACTGGCTCATGCGCTCCCTTGCCGCGTCCTCGCCGACGTACGTCGCGAGCCTCTGCTGGTAGTCCTCGAAGTTCTGCAGATGCTGCGCGATCCTGATGATGTTCACCTGCACACGCACATATACATCATTATTGTCATCTCCATTGCATTATTGTAGATACGTATACATGATTCGAGCATGTGTGCGTGCGTGCGCGTGGAGCTTACGAATTGCACGCCTGTGTCATTGAGGATGTCGAAGTCGGTGGACGCGAAGTTGGCGCCGGCGAGCAGGTTCTCGCCACGCATGTAGGGGCTCAGGTACGGCAGCGCGGGTTCTGCCCCGAGGTACTCACCTGATCAAACATGTGGAAATGTCAAGAACTACTCTCCCAACCGAAAGAGAAATGGTGCAGCGGGGAGGATAACGTAGTGCAGGGCCGGTCCTGCGATTTCAGGGGCCTTGGGCTAGATAACCCAAAGGGGCCCTAATGCCACATAACCATATGAGCATTCATATTACCATTTTCTTGCCAAAAGATATTCCGTACACTATAACCTATGTTGCAAACATGTGACCTATCGAAAAAACAGGATCATAAACAATAAAGGTAAAAGTTGCTCGCTCTTGTGATCTTGTCATCGACACTTATATTTCGAATATTAGGTAAACAAGGTACACTTCCATGCCCACTCAAATTGTTATCATCCTAAAATTTTCACTTGTTTTTTTTAACATTAAATAAAGCTAATTCTAGTTTTTTAACAATAACTAAAGCTAATTCCTCGTAATTCGAAGCAGTTGTATCTATTCTAAAAACTGTCAAATTAGGAGCAGTCTTGCTAATTACAGGAGCAAGGCATGGAAGTAGCAAACAACACATATGACAGATGAAATTATGAACACTACTAATTAAATAAAAAAAATGCAAAACAAGGCAGGGAACAAGGTACCTGATCTGTACTCATGTGGATGGCTAGAAAATTAGAAACTGCAAGATCTTGTTGCTGCTTACAAGTCACCAACAAAAATCCATGTTTCTCTTTTTAAATCCCAATGAACACGATTAATCAATCGGAGAGCGAGACAGACAGATGTAGGAGGATGACCAGCACGAACGAACGAATGATTTGAGAAGCCTGTAAAAGGAGGAACGGGATATGCACTACATAGGAAGTACAGTAGATGAGAATCTGTAAAACGCATTACAGCCAAAACTCACAATTAGAGGAAGCGACCGGGAAGAGATGGAATAGAATCCAAGGAAACTGCACGCGGTGTGCTGCCGTACTGCATGTGCCAAGCTGAGAAATAATCGATCCATCATGAGGTCCTTGGCCAAGCGGCGGGGTCGTCGGCCAAGCGGCGATGGACGGAGTCCACGAGGCCCTCGCCTCGGCGCGCGTGGTAGGTTCCTGGAGGCGATCAAAATTAGTTACAGTTTGCACCATATGAAATCACAAGCTAGCTAGTACATGCTAAATAAAACATCTAAATTCAGATTGGAATATATGTATATATCTACAAGGTTCCAGAGTGAGGTTCCATACAAGAATTATGTTTACCTTCCCAGGATCTTTAATTGAGCCCTTCCCTATGATAAAAACACGACAACCCGTAGTGGCTTCAATCCTCTTCAACGAGTTTCCCCTTGGCCCAAGAAGACGGCCAATAAAATTGAATTGAACAAGTATGGCAAGCAGAGTAAATAATGATTCCATACTAATAGAACACTTGCAAGCATGAATGAACGTACATTAGGGTAAGTATCTGTTGGTATCTTCAACCGCAAAATCTTCTTGACAATGTATGGAGAGGGGCTTTGTGGTGCTCCTTGCCAACCCACGGGTCCTTGAGGAAAACCTACCCTCTGATCAACAACAGAACCGTAAGGTTGTGCACATGCACATCTTAGAACATAATAAAAACATAAAGATTGAGAGTGTGGACCCGTTGCGAATAGGTAGGACAAACTTAACTAAAGATTCAAATTTGATTATGTTGAAGTCAATCCAGTTTCTTAATGCTTCCCAAACAAATAAGGATTTAGTTCAATACAATAATCTTAGGCGCCAAGTGTCTTTCAAGTGTCATTAAGCAATAAAACATGCATAACATAGCAGCTAGCCCTCATTAGATCAAGAGTTCAAGAAACAATAATATGGCTTGCCTCTTTGTGGAAGAGCACGATATGAATTCTAAAACAGGAGCAATCAATGAAGAAATCAGCTTGATTTCCAGTTTACAGTCTTCCATAGTAAATCTATGTACCTATAAAACTTCAGTCTGAAAAAGACTCCGACGCAATATTCGACTTGTTATAGGGATATCTGCTTCTTTATTTACAACCACTGCGTTAAAGAGAATATCAAGAATATATCTTGCTTGTAAGTTCGCCACATCAATCAGCACAAAAATATTTACACCTAATTATCCACCTGGTGCGTTCTAAGAGAAAGACTTGCCAATTTTCAGCAAGCATTTATAGCAGAGGGAAAGGCGGATCAGAATAAAAGGAACCTGTATATGTTTTCAGTGCACTGCAACTTTCGTTAGAAACTGAGGTGAGCGCAAACCAGAAGATGATGAAACAGAAAATTCAGGTAGCAACTCTGAATCAACTCAGCTTTCGCCGCGGCGCTCTGCCTCCATGGCAAGTATGCAATTAAGAGGCTTAAGGGTGAGAGTACGACTACATTCCTAAGAATACCATGCGATCAAATGTGATGGTGAGGATGCAACTTATCGCACCCATACTAACATTAAATGGAATGATAGACAAGTATGCAATTAAAGATGCAGAAAGTAGGATACAACCTTCACATCACCAAGAGAGGATCTTGTGTATCCTTCTTTTTCTTTTAAAGATTAATTACCAACTGATGCGATCAGATATGATGGATGACTGAATATGCCACCCTCATGTCAGAAAACTAACGCAATTACCTCTGGCTGCGCCCCGTGGTTCCACGGGCCAAAACCATTTCCACAGAAATTAGGCATTGGGGGCGACTGATGATGATGCATCTGGTTTGGACGCGCCATCGGCGGCAACCTCTCAAAGTCCCCATCAGGTTGGTGCTTAAGCAAGGAGGACACCCGCATTATCTCTACCAGCATGAGTACAACAACAAACATCAACTCGCAGGATTAGCACGAAAACATACTCCATGAAAAACTTGCTGCTATGGAAGAAACATATGAATCAAGCTACGTACTACTACATGCTTTCAAGACCTACGACACACACACACACATACAGAAAGGCCTGCGCCTTGAGGCCAAAACAGAGTCAAGCAGAGCAAGTTTGCATCAACAAGAGAGAAACAAAAGAGAAACCTAGATATATGCATTGCTCACAACTATCCCCCTGGTGGAACGCAAATCTGCACTCCCTCTGCCGACTGGCCTCTGACGCATGCCATCCTCACTACTTCGAGTCCGAGGAGATGATTGCATAAGGTTCAAGAATTGTATGAATTTTTTAACTCATTCTGAATCTACTGCTGCAAAACTTACACATTCTGAATCTCATTCCGAAGAGAACATTGGGCAGGTAAATGTCCATCACCAGCATGAATTCTACAGACAATCAAGGCTGGGGTGGGGAATGACGACACTGGTCGCGGTGCCGACAGGTAAAATGCGATATTACAGATGAACGGAGAGAAGAGAAGACACCGCCTCACCTTGAGAAAATCCATGAGCGAACGGACATGCGGCAGCATTCCTGACCTTGGCAACCTTGTCGGCCTATATTACAGATGAACGGAGAGAAGAGAAGACACCGCCTCACCTTGAGAAAATCCGTGAGCGAACGGACCTGCCATGCGGAAGCATTCCTGAGCTTGGCAACCTTGTCGGCCTCCAGCCCGCCCTCGCCCCCGAGCATATGAATGATGAGCCTGAAGGCGACCTCCTTCCGCTCGAGCGCCTCCACCTCCTACCCCTGGAACCTCTGCACCGCCTCCCTGATCCCTCCATTCTCCTCTCCAACCGCGTCCCCCCTTCCCCTTGGCCTTGGGCGGGCCCTCGTCGGAGCCAGGGAACTCGAGGAAGAGCTGCTGGGCGACGGGCGCGGTGTGGACGGGGAGGAGCTGCGGCGGTTTGTCGGCCGCGTCGGAGAGGAAGGCCCGGGCGAGCGACGCGGAGGTGGGGTCAGCGACATCGGGCACGAAGAACGGATGGATCGGCGGCGGCAAAGGGATGGATCTGGTGCGAAGGGATGGAGGGCGGCGGCGAACGATCTGCTGTGCGGGTCGTGAGTGCTAGTGGTTCTCGCTGGAGGACAGGAGGCCTCGCTTGTACGTGCGTGTGAATCGATGCCGTTTTTTTCAGCTGGTTTTTTGTGGTAGGTTTGTGCGTGTACAACGTGGAGGCATGGCTAGGAGGTTTGGTTCGACGGAGGTGGGAGGAGAGACGAAAAAACCCAGCAAAAATAAACCGTGAAGACTATTCACCAACTGCTCCATTAGGAGTAGAGACTAGTGGATGGGGCGCCACCGTGTGGCGCCGCTTGAGGGGAAGCTGTGCGCATGTTTTTATTTAAAAAGAAAATAGAGTCCTCGCCTCTGTCTAGAAAACCATTTAGAAAAACAAAATCCTCACCTTCATCTAAAAAAATAAAAAATAAAAAATACAACCGCGGCCTACCAGCGAGTACCACTTTACATAACCCTCTATTTAAAAAATACCAGAGGTCCTCACCTTCATCTAAAAACAAAATTTTTTAAAAAAAATAATCTACTACTTCAACTAAAAAAATTCCATAATATTTCTCACCGCGACCAACCAGTTTGCGCCACATGGAGTAGCTGGTTAATCCACACCTGCATCTAAAAAAATTCAACAATATTTCTCACCGCGACCAACCAGCTTGCGCCACATGGCATAGCTGGTTGGCCGCCCTTCACGCGTAGCTTAATGTGTTTAATAATGAAAACACTCGCTGGGCTTAAATGGGCTGCAGTTAGTGCGACCCATGTTGCACGCATATATTTCTCAATATTTGTGAAATGTATGTAAGTAATAAAAATAATGCTTGAATATTCGTGTGTTATAAATATTGTACATACAAACAGTGATTAATTAGTAAATATAAGCATTAATTTACACTCCTATTTTATATTAAAGAAAATTTCACATATTATTGTAAAAATATTCATATATTAAAAATAAAGTTTATCAGTTATAAAACTGTTTGTATTATTTAAATAATACAAAAAGTCAAAAAAATTAACTCATAAGTTTTATTTCAATTATAGAAACAGTTCAATATTTATTCACACATTTTTGTAACTCATAATAT